CTTTTCCTCCATTTGGCTTCTTCTTCTTTTGACTATCGAGTGAATTTCTCCACTATGAGATCAATCAATTCTATCTAATCTTTAAATCTAAATTCTACAAAATTCAGATTTTTCATATCCAATCTACGATTATTTTTTTCTGACTGAACCAGATTTATTTGTTTTATTGAAAATCTTTCTTTAATGGATGGAGCTATTTTAAAGCTGTGGATGTGTAAAACATTACGGTTAGTGAGACAAGCTGCTTTAGATTCAGGTTCTTTAGGTTTGGGCTTCCATCCACATGCAGCATTCAGAACGCCATATGATCTGGATCCTCTAATGTTTCCGCCCAGATAACGATGGTTGGTGTGTTCTCTAAGGGTGATACGGACCTCATAGTCAAGGCCGGGAAGGGAAACGTCCCTCAAAGCGGAACAAATATGTGCCGAGCTGCTCCGCCGCGCACACTGCTGCACTGGTGCTTTCAGGGACCTCGACATGTCATTTCCAGCATAGCACCCACATACGGCAGACGACAAATGACGCCGTTTAGTGCTCTGCTTTGCACTCAGTCACCAGTGACTCTCTCTTTTCACACGTACTCATTGCTGTGAATTACATAGAAACGCTGACCGGCCACCATCTCCGCCCTGCATCCATTTCTGAGTCCAAACGCCGACTATAAATCTGTTCCCATGAACATTAGGAGACAGCAGGCAGATAATAGCTTTATAGCTTGAAGGCCACTTGAGAAAATACAGCAGCCGTACATGACATGCGCCCCATTCTCAGCAGTTAGGTCACTTTCCTTCCACATGTCTCCTTTTAAATCGTATTCACTGGTAAATCTGGGAGTAAAGGTCAAACTGTATGAAGTGATTAAACAACTAAAACTTGCCTTCTGTGTTTTTAAATGCATGATTGTTCGTTTCAGTACAAACTGCTCATCAAGTCTGATTTGCAGCTGAACTGCATCTTTTAAGTGACCTGCTTCCTGGCCTCTTCGCCATAAATAATTTTCTATAACCTCCTCACATCACAGCATGCTGGTGCATTTACACCCACCTGCTGCCAGAGTTCAGCAAGCTTTGCTGGGGTGGCAGTACGGTGGCCCAGAGGTGCAAACACACCGCAACTACATAAATGGTGCATTTAGTAAAAAGGAAAGCAAACATAAAAAAATTAGAACAAAAAAGAAAATAATGAAATAAAAACTTGCAAAAGGAAGTAAAACGAAAAAAGAGCAACAAACTAGCTCCAGAATATGGCATTATATTTGCTCCATTATTGTTTGAGGCAAAAAAAAAAAAAAAAAAAAAAAAAGTATATATATATATATATATATATGATTTTTTTAAATGAGTCATTTTGATTTAAAAAAATCTTTATAATTATTACAGCTAAAAGAAGTGATTTTCAACATAATTGTATTTGGATTAGATTGCAATATGTAAAATTATCTGCCAATGATTTTTTTCCCCCCACATCTAAAATAAGAAAAAAAAATATCTCCATAAAGGTAATCCAGATTATAGAGTAACTTTTGCTCCATTATTGTTGCAAGCAAAGAATTTTTGTTCATGGTAATTAGAAAAAACATGTATTTTAGAAATGAAACTTTAAGAAAGGTTTCCTTATTTAAAAAGAAAAGGTTTTGAAAGTACCTTTGTTTTCTCGGATTTTATTTTGTCATATATATATATAAAAAAAAACAATTTGACTTTTTCTGATTGAGATTTAAGAATTATATTGTTTTCAACCATGTTTTCTCTGTAGTGAGGAACAAAGACTCATTCTGATTGGTCAACACAACAATGAGCCTTTTTATTGCGAGTGAAGAAAATGTGATTTATGTTAACGCAAGTAGAAAAAATGCAATTTGTAAAACTCAATCTGAAATTTGAAATAATTAAATCTGAAAATATCAAATCTGTATAAAGCAATAAGAGAATTAATTAGCTGCAAAGCTAATTCCAAGTTTACAAAGTTGAACTTCTGGATATATATATATATATATATATATATATATATTTTTTTTTATTGTAGCAAATTTTCTTCAATAAAAACTGCTGTTTGCTTCAGAGGAGTGGAGGCCTAGCGGTTGAAGCAGCACTCTGTGCTCTGAGAAGGTTGCAAGTACCCTGGTTTTTTTCACATAAAAAAAATGGAACATATTTCACTCCATACACCTGCACTTTTTCCTCCACCAGAAGTTGGATAAACAGTTTCTCTCAAATGTCAAACTTTTTAGCTCCGTCCACCATAACGTGACATTTCTCTACCTGCATTAGATGCCGTCACTCACTTTAAATCACAAGTGACATTTTATTATTCCCTTAATAATGTCATTTCTTTTATTCTAAAACAAATTTACCTTTATACGTTTTCCAGGATATTTTTTTTCGAGCAGAAATTCCTCTACAAGTGAAGTAATTTTAATGCACAGAACATTTAACCGTAGGATTATAATTAAAGCCCATCTAGGAACTCATCCTTCAACCATCCGTTCATGACAGCCGTCAGCTCCTAATTGTGGAGCACATTAAAAACATGTTTGTCTTGTTTTTTCCTCCCACTCAGAATTCCTCTGTGATTCTGCAGGGTGCAACAAAACCTTCATAAAGGTCATGTTTGCCTGGTGAAAATAAACTTAATTACACAAATAATCTGAGATCCCTGATGAGGTTTAGCCGATCTATATGTCAGTGCCGCGGGCGGATGGGAGGCGAGAGGCGGCAAATGAGGCATAAACGCAGCTTGTAACCCTGTATGCGTCCGCCATACGATATGATGGCCGTTCCGGTAATCACCGTGCCGCTCCTGCATCCTTGTTTGAAACTTGATCGCGGCCTGTCAGTGATAACACCCTGAGCCAGATGGTTTTATTCAGTGCGGCCTCACACTTCATTAGGGAGAGGGGAACGCAGCGGGAAGAGGTACTTTAGGAAGATGAATTAGAGGCTGAGGCCGGCCTGCTCTGCTCTGAGCCGCAGAAAACGATCCAACCTTTCTGTGGAAGTAGACGAGCTTCACCTGCTGCCTCAGTGGACAGGAGGACTGAGGCTACTAGCCTCTGGAAGGTAGCCTCAGACTAACTTCCAGGATGCATTTTAGTAAATCGTTGGAGAAACCTCTCTTTTCAGCTAGAAATTGTCATAATTTGTTTGGAGGTTTTTGTGAAGACCCAAATGCAGAGGCTGACAGGCAGGGATGAGTTCTGTCCAACATAAAAATAAAACACAAACCTGAACCATGGAGACATCAGGGGAAAAGCGTCACAAGGAGCCAGGGTGAGACAAAGTAAGACGAGGAACCAGCACTGAGGGACTGAACAGGGAGCGTATTTATGGCTGACTGAACAAAGGCAGGACTAACGAGCGGATAAGGAGCAGGTGTGGGTTGGGCTGACGAGGAAGCAAGGGAAAAGAAAACACTAGGGGGCAGCAGAGGACAAGCGATGAAAAACCTAAGAAACTAAAATAAATCCAGAACACATCAATAAAGCTAGAACAGAAAACATGGATAAACATTAAAAACTGTAAACTTAGAGAAAACCAACAGAACCAAGATCATTACAGAAATAAATGGAGGGAATTTTATTCCAAAGATATTTTGGAAAAAAAAAAAAGCAACAACAAATTTTGGAAATCAGAATAAAATAATGCATTTCAGCAGTGAAAGTTTGAAAAGTGTTTTTATAGAAAAAAATTTTAAAGGCTAACTTTGCTGTTTTCTTAGATTTAGTTTTTATCTTTAAAATGCATTTTTTTAATGTTTAAATATTCAAGTGTTTTTTTTTATGTTCAGATTGTGTTTTAAAGGTTTCAATCTTTCCAAACTGTATTTTCCGGATCACGTTCTCTTTACTTCCTGGGGCGGGCTTTCCTCTGGACTGAGGAGCTGAGATGCATTCCTATTGGTCTGCTGGGCGTTAGCAACGTTTCATTGGTCAAGAGCAAGTGTTTGTATTGAGCTTAACAATATTGGAATTTTGAAAACAAAAAGGGAAAAAACCAAGTTATTCTTAACATCCACCCAATTTTTGGGAAATTCTCGCCTATTTTGCATACGCAAATGGAAAAGCAAATAACTCAGGAACTGTAAACCCAAATCACACGTGTGATACATTATTTGAAAGCTAACACCTTCTAGTTTCTGAATATATAAATGGAAACTGGGTGAGTAAATCACAGCCCAAGCTGCATCAGTCCAAACATGACTCAAAGTAGTTTTTTTTATTCTTGAAAATAATCGGTCTTTTTTGAAAAATCATGCTTGCTTGTTGTGGCTGCTTTGTTTACATGTTGACATGCTGCTATATCTGTGTTAATTGTGCTTTGATGCTCGCTGTGTCAATAAAATGAACTTGGCAGTTGAATTGTGGAGAATATAAGCTTTCCAAAAATGTCTAACATCTATACTAGTAAACTTTTTACCGGTGTAATTTTGATGCATTCTGAGTTATTAGCTGTAAACGCTTTCAAACGGTTCCCTGGTGACCTGCTGGGTTTTTTAAGGATAAAACTTTGTTTCAATCAAGATAATTTTGAATGTTTCATTTCTCGATTGCAATTTTTGAAATTATTTCCATTTGCATTTTTTTTTTTGTGCTTGCAACAATAACGAAACAAAATTGACTCCATACATATTTGTCTCTTTTTATTTGAGCTTAAAAAACAGAACATAAACAGCTTCAGACTGACAGGCAAAGCTGAGGTGGCGGTGTAATGGTACGGGGTTTGATCAGTTGGTCAGGACCTTGTCGACGCTCTATTATAGAAATCGCTCTATTATAGAAATCCTGACAGAAAAATCCCGGCCATCAGCTCTTTATTTTTCCCACACTGCAGGAATTCATTATTAGAAAACAGATTTTAGTTTTTACTCTGCTTAATTTGTTTCTTATATTGTTTCAAATATTTTGAAATGAAAATAAGGAGCCAGATGAGCCTGAAGTGATGCGGCCGTGTCTCTATGTCCACTCTTATTGAACTAGCTCTACGTTCTCCCTTTGCCAGGATGAGTGAGCGGTGCATGCAGATCGGAAGCAAAGGGGCTCTTCTCGTTGTGGTGCTCGTGATCGGCGTCCTGGAGCTGTCCTCGTCGACAGAAGCAGCGACAGGTGAGCCTGCGGAAACAAAGACATCAACTGCTTTTATTTCAGTAAACGGGGAACATCTGGACTCGTCCTTCCGTGAAAACATGGCACTGGGGTCACATCGGACGGGGAGGAAGCCATTATTCTCGGGTGTCAGTAATTAGCAGTACGGTGCTACAGAAATGTGCAAAAAGAGTCATTTCTCTGAAGTTTACCGAAGTGATGAGTGAAAACATTTATGCCTTTTGAACTTCTCATTTTCTTCACTTTGCAATCAAAAATTGATGTGTTTAATAATAACTTTAACTTTAAAGCATATTTGTAAAAAAAAAAAAAAAGACGCTGAGCGGTTACAAAGAGATAAGAGACAATTTAAAGGAATAGTACACCCAAAACATGATTAGCCTTCATTTTCTACTCACCCCCATGCTGAACAACACTCTGGAGTACTTTTTTGATATCTCAAATGCATCTGGAGATCTGGGAGGCTTCTTGCTGTCTGCTGACATTCAAATAATGGAGGTCTATGGCGCCCGAGACAGAAAGGTCCATAAAAGTCCACAAAAAACGTGTCAATATTCCTCCATACTGCTCGTCCAATGTATTCCAAGTGTCCTGAGTGGATAGCGTCCAGAATTTACTCGAAACGAAGTCATTTAGGATGTTTTTAGAGCATAAACAGTAGTGTATAGGATTTCCTGAAAGCGCGCACATGCGCGTTCACGAGTCTACGGAAACCGCGGCAGACCAAACCAGATGAAAGTGCGCATTCAGCTCGGCAAAGAACTCCTGCTCTTCCTCAACACTGAAGTCCTCAGACATTTTTCTTTCGTTGTTTCTTTCTTTGCACAGGTAAACAGCACATTTCTTCTTCTACGCTTGCATTATCGGCAGAGCAGACGCTGAATGCGCACTTTCATCTGGTTTGGTCTGCCGCGGTTTCCGTAGACTCGTGAACGCGCTTTCAGGAAATCCTATACACTACTGTTTATGCTCTAAAAACATTCTAAATGACTTCGTTTCGAGTAAATTCTGGACGCTACCCACTCAGGACACTTGGAATACATTGGACGAGCAGTATGGAGGAATATTGACACGTTTTTTGTGGACTTTTATGGACCTTTCTGCCTCGGGCGCCATAGACCTCCATTATTTGAATGTCAGCAGACAGCAAGAAGCCTCCCAGATCTCCAGATGCATTTGAGATATCAAAAAAGTACTCCAGAGTGTTGTTCAGCATGGGGGTGAGTAGAAAATGAAGGCTAATCATGTTTTGGGTGTACTATTCCTTTAACCCCACCCTGCTCCCCGGGCGCCGCACAATGGCAGCCCACTGCTCCCCAAGGGGAGGGGTTAAATGGAGAGAGGTATTTTCTCCATTGTGGAAAAAAAAAATAAACAATGGAACATATTTCACTCCATACAGGAACAGACCAGATGAAGCTACTATGAGAAAAAAGCAGAAAGAGCAGAACGTTAAGACAAATTAAAAAATTCTCGGGCCGTTCACTCTGCCTCCTACCTTCCACTCTGGGCCCTTGAGCAAGACCCTTAGCCTCAGATTGCTGCTTAAATACAGAGATAAAATTTCATTGTAATGAATGGAATTAGAACAATAAAATCAACAACTATTTATTAAAAATATCCAGTTTTTTACAGGATGGCAGTAAGGTTCTCCTCAGGAGTTCAATGTTTTTCTCACCTTTTGCATAAAATAAATGGTAATATGAAGATTTCCAGTTGATTTAAGGATTTTTATGCATCTTTACTAAGAAATTGGGAGAGTAAAGTGACAGAAAGAAAAAAACATGAGCAATGTACCTTAGTTAAAATTCCTCTTTGATAGGAAAACCTTTTTTTTTTACAGATAACAAGCAAAGACACAGATTTTTTCATTCCAAATAAACTTTTTTTTCCCCTAACATTTATGTCTAGTTGCCCAATTGGGAGAAAAGTGTTTAAATTCTGACCTTCAAGCTGTGCCGGGCCGATCCCTGCAGACTCTTTCCAGCCTTGAATTTCAGCTTCCATGACTGTGAACCACTTAGCAAAAAAAAAGCAAATCAAAGCTCACATGTTGTACAAGGCAGCCTTGAACCAGAACAGAAAGGTATTCGACAGCTTTAATTCTTTATTTCCCAGCATTAGTTATTCTCCTGCTCTTGTGCAGATTCAGTTTTGCAGAGTTTCTCTGGAGGTGCTTTGCATACCGTGGTCAAAGTTACCATAACTTTGATGTTTGACTTATCGCTCGTCTGCATCCCAGATCATTTCCTTCTTCTGCAGTAGCAGTGGAAATGAATTATAAAAAGCATCTGGACAAACATAAAGAAGAAAAACACTGTTTGCAACCTTGAAAGAGCAAGAAGCAACAAGGACATGCTACCAGTTTGAGGCGAAATACATTCATCCGTTCTCTGCTCCGCCTTTTTTTAGGGTTTTCTAAATCTGAAATGGAAGTGTGCAGAAAATTCCTCCACATGGAGGCTGTAGGTGTAGCCGCTGCTGCATACAAAACTATGCAATGATTACATTATTATTCACAACAGCTTCATGAATAAGACAGAGTATGCATTCTGCTTTCTCCGTCTCTCCAGAGACGGAGGCCTAAACGGAGGAGAATGGTTTCAGCACTGCACAAAGACAGAAAAAGAAAGCTTTGTTTTTATGGAAAGACATTTAAAGTCAGAGGGAAATGTCAAATCATTCTGGCTCAAACATGTATATAAATGTACTCTTTATCAGACCAATTTGTCCAAAAATTTAGAAAATGTATATTTAAAAAAAAATCTCATTAAACCTGAGCCACTCTAAGTATAAACTTTTATCAAAAAGGAAAGTTTTCAGCCTAGCCTTAAAAGTAGGGTGAATTGAGATAGAATGAAGCAGAATGATGAAAAAGGGGTCCCTATGTCCTCCAGCAGTCTAAGCCTATAGCAGCAGAACTATAGAGATAGCTCAGGATAACCTGAGCCACTCTAACTACACTGCAAAAACCATCTAGAAATAAGTACAAAATTTCTTAAAATAAGTGTATTTACCCTTAATTTTAGTAGGTAAATAAGACGATTTGGCAATGGAATCAGTATTTCTACTCCTAAAATAAGACAATTAGATAATATTCACTTGAAATAAGACAAAGCAATTTTTTTTCTTATTTTAAATGTAAATTGTCTTGTTCCATTGGCAAAGTGTCTTACTTATCACCTCAATTCAAGACAAAATTCACTCAATTTAAGCAAAAATAACTCATACAGATTTCCATTTTTTGCAGTGTATAAGCTAGGGATGCACGATATAATCGGCCCCCTATCGGTATCGGCCTTAAAACTGAATATCGGACATCGGCCACCCCACCGATATTTAACCCGATATTTGATCAGCTTCTGAGTTTCTAAAGTCTAAAAAAAAATAAAATACTACTTCTTCTTCTTCCTCAAAAACTTCTTTTTTACAGACTTAAAAACTTCTAAAGACGAGGGAAAAAATATTGATGCATTAAAATATCCCAATATCTTCATATGCTGATATATTGCCATTTAAAAACACCATATCAATCTCTTTTACTAATGAAATATTGCTATATGTCATCGTTATGCTACGAAATCCCCCGAAAATTCACCAAATGTTGCCATATTTTTATATGTTGATATATTGACGCGGTATCGATCTATTTTACTAACAAAATCTCACAAGAATTAGCAAAATATCACAAGAGTTTGTAACAGAACGATGAAATTTCACGAGATTTTAAAAGTAAAATAGATCGATACAGCGTTTTTAAAAATCTATTTGATATCAGCATATGAAAATATATTTGAGTATATTATTTTTCAAAGTGTCAGAAATGGATAACAAAACTGCTATTTTCAATGACTACTTGTTTTTGTCCAGCTTTAACATCGGTATCGATATCGGTTATCGGCTACATGAGTTTTAAAATATCGGCATATCGGATATCGGCCAAAATCCCAATATCGTGCATCACTAATATAAGCTCCATCAAAAAGGAAAGTTTTAAGCCTAGCCTTAAAAAGTAGACAGGGAGAATAGAGATAGAATGAAGCAGAATGATGAAAAAGGGCTCCCTATGTCCTCCAGCAGTCTAAGCCTATAGCAGCAGAACTATAGAGATAGATCAGGATAACCTGAGCCACTCTAACTAGAAGCTTTATCAAAAAGGAAAGTTTTAAGCCTAGCCTTAAAAGTAGACAGGGTGTCTGCCTCACGGACTAAAACTGGTAGTTGGTTCCACAGGAGAGGAGCCTGATAACTAAAAGATCTGCCTCCCATTCTACTTTTAGAAATTCTAGGAACCACTAGTAAACCTGCAGATTGAGAGCGAAGTGCTCTGTTAGGAACATAAGGAACAATCAGATCTCTGATATCAGATGGAGCTTGGCCATTTAAGGCTTTATATGTGAGAAGGAGGATTTTAAATTCTATTCTGGATTCTATTCTGCTTCTCCACCTTTCAGTTGCTGTTCTCTATTTAGTTTAGTTTTAATATATAAAAGCATAACTGAGTGGATTCGGATGAGGATTCCAGCTCAAACATTCCAGAATATTCTACTAATTTGCTTCCATAAAGGTTCATTTGGTGGTTTGTTTTAGGTCGCTGTTTTACTGGTGTTATGAAACCCAGTCAGTTTGACAGCACTTAGTGGGATTTAAAGAGACAGTGCTCCTCTAAACAACCCAGAACACATCTGCTGCCGCTGTCCTGTGTCACATCTCCAGTATTCACTGGTCTCCCAGAGCCGCTAGCATCCATCCACATCCAGGAACATTTCCTTTGACGGATGACGTGGAACACTTTGGAGTCTGAGCGGATCCTCACCTTCTCCATGCTTCGGTCCTACCATCTTAGCTCTTGTTTTTATCTGCTCCTCCACTGTTTGTTGGCTTTTTTAATATCATTTCTTTTTAGCCAAGTCTAATCTGAACGTTTTTAATCTTGGAGCTGATGCATGCTTTGCACCTTTGGTTTAACTTTCCCTGAATGGACTTTCATGCAGCTGTTT